ATGAGAATCAGCATGGAATGGTTTAATTCTGTGAGAGCTTTGGTGGGTTTGCTGTGAATTAACATCGAGCTGGTTATTTAGAAGCCAGCATTAATTCTCCCTGCTATAACCTCTTTTGTCACAAATAAAAAAACTTAAACATCTAATGGTTTTAATATCTCCTAAGATTTTTTATTATTATTATTATTTTTTTTTTTTTAAGAAAAAAGAAGTTAATTCAGGCGTTGTCACAGTAGGAGTTGCACTGTTTGGCTTTCTCAGTCAGCGTTGTCCCCAGAGATTTCTGGTGCCAGAGTGGTTGGGACCCCGTCTCTCTTGATGTAGGATGGTGGTGCAAAAATATCTGATGTGGACTTTTCTCTTGGAAAACAGTCCTGAGAGAGTGTCTCAGCCTGTTTGCCAAGAGCAAAAGCCTTTTAATGGAATGGTGTGGGCAGAGCTGTCTTTGCCAACAGTGTGTTTGTTTGGAAGTTGCTATTTTGGGCCTGTTTAGCTTCTGAACCTTTTGTAATAACAGAAAGAGGAAGTGAACAGTGAAATCACTTTAATAACATATTTCCTGGTTCAAGTGACTTTATCTGTGAGGCCTAGACAGAGGAGATGTCATTTCCTGGATTGTTTATCTTCAGTTTGAGGGGTCCATTTGACTATGTAGTCTTTGGATCCATCTTTTTAATTTGTAGGGCAATCTTAGACTCAAGTAATGTAAACTGGGCCTTTTAATGAAAATCTAAAGCTTTAAGGAACCACTTTCTGACAAAATGCTAATGTACAAGGCACTTTCATAAAGCATATGCTGATGAGAATTTGAGATCTACCTTAAAAACATGTTTAAGAGCTTAGAAAGCTGTCTTTGAAAGATGCTAATAATGTTTGCTCACAGGCATAAAAATAAACTGATGCTTTTTCTGATCTTAATGGTGCTGATACTAATGGCCTCTCTAATGCCAGATGTAGCTGACAAGAATTAGGAGGTTTTCAAATAGTTAGCAAGCAGCTGTGCTCTTCTCAAATTCCTGTTTGTTAAGAGCTTCTTATGAAAACTGTTACCAGAAGTTCATGAAAAGGAGACAGAACTAATTAAAAAAAAAAAAAAAAAAATAGCTAAAAATACGGTTCTCATTTTTTATAGCCCCCAAAAAAAAAAAAAAAAAAAAAAAAAAAAACTTTGGAATTGGAGCGACTTAGGGAATAAACAGTGACATCTGAAATGTCACAGCTCAGTTTAACTTGGAAGTTATGGTTGCTTTGGACCTTGTAATCCAGTTTCACTAAAATGTCTGTTGCGGTTGATAACTTAATTCTTTTCCCTTACTTTGTGCATAAGATATAAATAGAACACACTAGCAGTGTTTTGTTTAAGCAAGCTTTAAAACAGCTTTGCACGAAAAGCATTAAAATATCAGTTGATCTCCCCTTCTCCTCCCCCCCCCTTCCTCCTCCCCCACCCCTCCCCCCAAAAAATATGCCTCATTAGTTTGTGATAAAATTGAGTGCTTTTACATCTTTTCCCTTAAAATGCATACCTAATTGTAAGTGACTATTAAAATTCTGTTTCAATAGCAACGAAAAAAGAATGGCAAAAGACTGACAAATAAGGTAGTTGACTGTGGAGGACAAAATAGAGTAAGAATGTGCTCGGAGCTCTAGAGAACTAGTTTTTCCTATGGAATTTGTGTAGATGAGACCTGTAATTCACCATCAAAGTATACTGTAGACCTACTGTGAAACTTTTAATTACTTTAAGGGGTGCTAGAGAGTAACAAAGGCCCTCATTTTGATACTGTAAGTTGCTACTGTAAGCTACAGTCTCATTAATGCTGTTACATTGCAAATATATTAATGGAAATATGAATTTAAGACATATGTATTTAGAGCCATGTGTTGCTGGTTAGAATCAGGACTTCACTGTGCTAGGTAAAATTGTAGAACATGGCCTGCGTGTATTCCATTGTGTCATTCAATGCTGTCCTTTCCTACATGTTGCGAGGCAAAGAGGTGTGTTTCTGCTGACATGCTCTGCTACATCTGCTAGAATGACAAGTCCTTTTTTGGAAGCCGGTGCTTGCTAGAGTTTGGAATTACGTATTCTATCACGTGATTTTTGCAGGAAGTCTTAACTCAGAGTACTTTCCATTGGGGAATGTCCAGGTCATTGGACAACCCAAGCATTGACTAATCCACAAGTACTTAACAACTTCAGTACTTTGTTTTAGATTTATTGTATCGTCCATAAAAACTTCATCAAATTTAATAGTAGGTGCTGAGTTTTCAGTCTGTCTGAAAGGAGAGTATGATGTCCTAGGCCGTCACTTCTTTCTCCTTGATAGGTCTTTCAGGAACGTTTAAAATCAAGACTCAAGTAATGGCTTTAATTAAACTAATTAACAATTGATACTGTGTATTATTCATTGCCTTCTCTTTGGGCTTAGTAACACTATATTTCTTTTCGAAAGGAAGTTCTGAAAAGTGACGTAAAACAATACAAAACTGTTTAAAAGGTGAATCCTTTGCCTGGGGTTATTCCTCCTTGGATGCGTTTCCTCACATGTCCTCTCTGTCCAGTTCTGCAGCCTTTCGTGGCCCCTCTGAATGAGGCCAGCACAGCCCTGTGGTGTGTCAGACACTCCCCCTAATTTGGTTTGTTTGTTTGTTTTGTTTGCAGGGTGCAGCAGGTGGTTAATGAAGTTGTTAAAAGTTGCTGGCCCCAGTATCGAGCCCCAGGGTATACCGCTAGTGACTGGCCTCCAGCTGGACTTTGGCCATTGATCAGAATCTTCCAGGCCTAGTCTCTCAGCCAGTTTTCAGTCCTCTCACCACCTACTTGTGTAACCTGTGCTTCATCAGCTTGTTTATGAGAACATTGTGGAAGACAATGACAAATGTCTTATTGAAGTTGAGATAAACAACAACTGTTCTTCTCTCATCCACCAAGCTAGTTGCCTCATTGTAGAGGGCTGTCAGCCTGGCCAACATGATTGCCCCTTCATAAATCCATGCTGACTAATCCTAATCACCTTCTTGTCCTTCACGTGTTTGGAAATGGTTTTCAGGAGGATTCCCATTTCCTGGGAATTAAGGTGAGGTTATCCAGCCTTTAGATCCCAAAATCTTCCTCCTTGCCCTAATTGAAGACAGATATCTTCCATAGTTCAGTAGCCTCTCTTCATTGCCATTACCTTTTCAAAGGCCCCTGCATGGCATTGGCCAGCTCTTTCAGCGCTTGCAGGTGCATCCCATCACAGATGGGAGTCCATCTCTGCGTGAGTCCAGTTTGTTCAGGTATTCCTGTCATGGAGGACTGGGTCTTGGCACTTGGTCCTCACCAAGAGAAAGTCTTCCTGACTTCAGTCTTCCCACTTCCTCTGGTACAAGGTACCTAAGATTCCTGAAGGCTGATCTTACTAGCAAAGATTGAAGCAAAGAATGCCTTGAGTGCCTTTGTCTTTTGTTTACCTTTTGTTACCAGCTTGCCCTGCTCTTTTCAGCAGCAGGCCCACGTCTTCCGAGTCTTCTGCTGTTTATGTACTTGTGGAACCCTTTCTTGTTGCCTTTTTCAAACTTTTCCAACTCGTCTGCAGATCAGCCTTGAGTTTCCTAATGTGGCCTTACACCTTGGGATGTCAGCTTCATCCTCCCAATATCCTGCCCTTGTTCCTGCTTCATGTACACTTCTGTTTCATGTCTGAGTGTAGTTGGGAGTTCCTTACTCATCTGTACAGGCCTCCTGGTTCCTTTGGTTGATTTCCTAATTGTTAAGATGGACCTTTTGTGAGCTTTTGCCTTCAAAGCAACTTGAAGCCTTGAAGTTTTATGTTTCGTGCAATATTTTAGTACATCTGCAAGTCTGATTTTCTAGATTTATGTCAAATACAATAAATGAAATTCTCTTGGGAACCTCAAAGGTGATCCTAGTGAGATGCTAATGATATTTTCGTATGAATTTAAGCAGAGGAAAGGCAAGCTTGTAGTCTCTGACCTTTAGTTGTCTGTATAGGAAATCACACAAATATATCTGTCCTGTAATTTCTTGAGCAAGCCTTGTTTTCCATGCGTGGTCTGGTGTCTGCTACTGATATTTTCCAAAATACTTCCTTTGCTGGAGGCAGAAATAACTAATTAAAAAAAAAAAAAAAAAAAAAAAAAAAGTACTGCAATTCCATCTCTCAATATTGAAAATGTGCTTAAATATGAATGTTTTTTTGTGGTGAAACTGAGAAGTGACATTTCAACAAATGAGGTCATCTTATTTGTATATGTAACATATTTTGTACTGCCCGGCATTCAGAATGTGTTTTATAATCTCAGGCCCTGTCTTTAAGTCTATCCCAGTAGGTATATTATTAGAATAACTGTAATAATGAGATTTGAACCAGAAGTGATCACTTGCCAGGCATATTTAGAAAACAAAAAAGAGGATTGTTAGCTGTGGCCTTATTTACATGCGTGAGGTACTAAGAAGGCTGAAAGGCTGTTGGCTGCTTATTAATTAATAAGCACGATGTCGTCTCTAACTAAAATCTCTGTGCCCTGCTGAGGTTCAAAAACCTTAAAAAACGAGCTCAAGATTTTCTTAGAGCAGTGAACAAGTAATAATGTGGGTAATGCAAATGTCCAGTTTTCAAATACACAGGAAAAATGTAAAGTGGAGAAAAAAAATGAGACAGTTTGATTGAACAGAGAATATTAAGTCTGTGTTTAAGCAGAAAGAGTACTACTGGTTAAGATTTAAAGTGTTACTCCAGCTTAAGTCTCAGTGCCACTAAGGGATGGTGATGTATCTGTAATGTTTCTAAGCCAACTTGGAGCCAGTCATGGTATTTTAACTGCTTTGGGGTGAATGAGGTATAAGTATACTTGAGATCTTGTTTTATCTGCCTACTAGGAATGTAATACCTGTTTGAATAATATATAACCTGTCTCAGCCTGCGACTCTTAGAAAAAGTGATGCAGTAACTACATTAGATTTTAGAACTCAACTTATTTTTATTTGTTTTCAGGATGGCTTGAATTCTTTGGTCCTTGATCTGGATTATCCGGCGCTGAGGAAGAACAAGAACATTGATAATTTCCTAAATAGATGTAAGTTGAAAGTGGCCCTTAAACAATGACAATGTAGTGGTTGCAATCTTAGGAGCTGAGTGGTTAGAAATGCATCACTGGTGTTCATTTTACTATTTTTCACACCTCTGACTTCATGTATTCAGAAAGCTTTGAAGGACCACTTATTGCAGAGATGCTTCATTTGGAGGAGTTATATTGTTGAAAACGTGTTGGATAATATTGATTGTAGAATGTAATTTTTGAACTACACTTAAAATAAATACTTTTATGTTATATTTATAATATTAGGAAGAAATTCTTCACTGTAAGGGTGGTGAGACACTGGAACAGGTTGCCCAAAGAGGTTGTGGATACCCCCACTCTGGAGGTATTCAAGGCCAGGCTGGATGGCGCTGTGAGCAACCTGGTCAATAGCAGGGGGGTTGGAACTAGTTGATCTTAAGGGTCCCTTCCAACCCAAAACATTCTATGATTTGATGTATATGTACTTTGAAGTATTTGCAAAACATTTTTCAGTTACTGTGAAGTAAGAATTAATTACACAAAATGTATGAAGTCTTATTTATTCTAAGAGGCATCTTCTGTTGATTTTTAGAACTTAATTATTGTACCTTAAAATCTCTAGTTGCATTTTTGAACCTTTGTGTAAATGCTTGACTTTCTGCAAATTATTTGTAGACAGAATCCTAGTGTTCATTAACCTTGTGCAAATGTAGGACTGTTGCATCAGAGTAACTATATTTTACTCTTCTTAAAGTGTTGTCCGTCTTTGCACATAAAATACTGTAGAAATAGTGGATCATTTGCTTTAAAATATAAGTTGCAGCAAGTAAGACATTTTAGGACAACTGTTGTTCAGACTTATTCAGCTGCATATATAAATTACTGTGAATGCCACTTCCCATTTCATTTTTTCCTGTTAAGAATTATGAGCCTGCTCTTCATTGCTCTAGGACTACTTTGAATATCCTCTTCTCAAATAAGTGGTCACTGATATAAAACCTTGTCATGGTTTTTTTTCATGTGGAGTTGATTGCTTCTCTGTGAAGTTTTGGCTTGACCATTGCCCATCCATTTGTTGAAATCACTCAAGATAGAGCAAATAAGAAACAGTGGGTTGGGAAGTGGAAGCATACCTTGAAGTATTTCTTGGTCTTGAATTCATTTGACCTCAAACAGATATGTTTGAATGGAAAAGTTGGGAACTGCTTTTTAAATAATTTTGTTACTTGCACGTATTGTAAGTGCAATGCGAAGGGAGAAGACCAATTTGCAGCAAATACGAAAATGAAATAAATTACAGAAACTTTTATGGACCACTCAGATCTGCATGCGTATTAGAATACTATTTTTGCAGTAGGAGACAATTAGAAACATTTTCTAACTAGAAGATCAGTACTTGTGAAGTATTCAGACAAGCAATTGTGGGAAAACAATTAAACCTTGGATTCTTTTTCCTGCAACCCCTGAGTATTCTTGCAGTCTGCCTTCCCTTTCTGATGCCTGCTGCTCCTTCTCCTACTCTAGCTTCTCTCTCATTGCTGTGTTAAATATTACTAAGCATCTGATGTGGCATGCAGGCTACCAGCTATGGCAGGAACGCAAAAATCTTCTTTGGTTCAGTTTTATTACTGCCTTTGTTTTCTAAATCAGCTGATGGTTTATAGTTGAAATAGCCAAATACTAGCTAAAGAGACTTCTAGGCTCTTTTGAAAAAGAATAAAATCTGACAATAGCAGATAGATGAATCCTTTAAAGTCTCAGTAGTTAATTATGTGTTTTAAGAGTTACCCTTTATCCTTACCTACTGTATTTGGGGGAGGGGAAAAAAAAAAAAAAGAAAAACATATAACAGCAAAGTACTTTGGTCCACACATTGTGAAGCTATTCATCTCTTCAGAATTTAGCAATGTAACTTCTGTTTCAGTACTGCCTGTGAGGAAATGGAAAGTAGTACTGCATACCATCTGTGATGTACTTCTTGAAAAGTATTTCTGAAGTGAGAATTTTGTAGACTCTTGAAGCTAATAATACGTTGCCAAATTGCAACTGAGTCAGAAGAGTCAGAAACCAGCGCTTTGGTTCAGAGTTCTTTCAGGTGTTTTCTTTAGGTGTGTGTGGTTTATTTGAACCAGACTGGGGAACTGATTAGTATTAATGCAGGCTTGGTTGGTTTGTTGGTTGATTTTTGTTAAAACTAGTCTGGCAAAAGAAGAAGTGACCGGTTTCTGGTCATTCATTCTGTGTTTTTGCCAGCACAAAGGGTTCAAACAGATTCTTACTATTGTTGTCATTTTACGCAGCTTTGAGTTGAACCCATACCTTATGTCTTTGGAGACAACTAAGAGTAGCCAGTATCAGTGGAAGAGTATACATAGTGGAAGAGAAGAGTATACATGTGCTTTCTGAAGCTTCTTGCTATTGTGGGCCTGGTAGAGGAGCTGGAAATCACATTAATTGATGGAACAGTAAGTTGGCACTGTCTTAGGTTATGGAACAAAGAGTTCTTGCCTCTTCTGATTTTTCTAAGCATCTGAAGAGCTGTAGCAAACCCGTAGATGAGCATTTGTGTCAAAAAGATTCTGACAGGTCTCTGGTGAGTGGGCTGTTCTGGGAGTTTGCATCTCTCCTCCAGGCAGAAATATGTCCCAAGGAATGCAGAGGGGTACCATGGCCATTTTGTGAGTTTAGAATTTATAGATAAGTATTTTAATCCATGTTACATGAATCTTGAAAAGCTGTGGAAAATGCTAACTAAAATTCTTCCACAGTAGCCGTCTCTTTGTAAAGGGCACTTTTTAAAAACCATTTTCCCAGGGATTAGAAAACACCCTAATTCACACCTACTGCAAGTCATTAGTGGTTGGTTTAATGTTTTATTAATTGATTATATTAATTTAGAAATTAAATAATTTATTTTTCAGCTGAGACATTAATATTCATCTCAACTCATGAAACTCAAGTGTTAACTGTCTTAACAAAGTTAACATTTATTAACTGCGTGTACTGTATGAGTTTAGTATATGCTGTTTTGTGACCACTTCACGAAAGAAACCTCTTCACATGCCTAGTACACAAGGAACTTTTTTGTCACCTGCTTTCCCTTATTATTCTGATTTCTTGCCACGTTTTCCAAGATATGGAACCAAAGTAGGACACATACTTATCACATGAGGCACATAAGTACTACCAGTCCCTTTCAGTGTTTCAAAATACTTTAGTTTACTGTTAGGATTCTGGTTGAAGTTTTATGGGCTTTTTTTTGTTGTTTTTTTTTTTTTCCCCTCAGTTTTCATGGGACAGGAAAGAACAGCGTAATATCCAATTGCCAAAACAATGAGAGGAATCTCATAGTCCTCTGAGAGCAAGAATTAACTTGCTAATTTTAGAAAGGAAAGTTGAGTTTTCCAGCACAGTCTTGGTATAGTAAATCTTTCATGATCTTTTCTTTTCCTCTTCTGTCATCTGCTCTGTGGCAAAAGATTGAATACATTCCTCCAAGTCCCTTCTCCTGCCATCTGAGGTTTGTCAAGTGTTGAATCGTGTCTTAGTGGCTTATCCTTTTTTCAGATTGTTTCCCATGCAGGTACTATGCAGCCCATTAGCTGCTTTAACTTTTGTTATAAGGAAAATTTAAGTAATTAAGCAACCGTTTTAAGCACCAATAAAAACTATTTAGTCGTTGATAATCTACTGTCAAGAATAGAAGTGAATGAAGAACTGTTTTCAAGGAAGACCAAGCTACACAGGGAACGACTCCATCAATAGGCCTGATACAGTCCAGAAGCCTTGCGTACATAAACTGATCACTGACTTCCTGTGCATTCTCCAGCATTGCTCAAAAATTGAAGACCTCCATCATCTCAGTGACTTGCTAATATTTGGGAGAACGGTGAACTTCCAAGCTGTAATGGCAAAAGCATCTTTACAATAGAAGAAACATCTGCTGCAGACGTGTCGCTTGTCTGCTTGTTCAGCAGGAGCTGAACACCTGAAGAGACTTCCTGGAAAGTTGCTATTACCATTTTCCTCTCCAAGCAAACAGTGCTTACATAGTAGTTGTATTCATTAAGATGAACTTCTTGCAAAATTAACATTTCTAGTTCCTTCCCTTACATTCTGTAATGTCACTTGAGAGTACTACATGGTTACAAACGAAAACACATCGGGGTATTACTGCCTTTGATTGTAATTTTCTGTCTTCCATACTTCCTGCCAGTGACACAGGTGGAATGTTCCATACCAAGAGACATCTTAGAAATTTAGATCTTACTTTGAGTTAATGAGCTAATTTGCTCTTTTATTTTCCTTTGGCTTCTTTAAGGCCAATCCTTGACAGGTCATTGCAGTCATCAGAGCAGGTTTGGCTTCAGTTTGATTTTTAATGCTGTCATTCTCTTAAGCAGGGGCAGCTTCCACTAATGTGCCATGTCTACCCTGATTTTGAACACTGCCATTGATGGGGGCACCCACAAGTTCTCTGGACCTATTTTGGTGTCACCACCCTCATCATAAGTTTCTTCCTTACGGCTAATCCAGATCTATTGTTGTTCAGTTTTAAGCCCTTACCCTTTGTCCTATCACTACAGGCCTTGGTAAAAAGTCTTTATCCATGTTTCTTATGTTTTCCCTTCATGTATTGAAAGGCTGCTATGAGATCTCCACAGTCGTCTTTTTTCCAGGCTGAACAACCCCAGGTCTCTTAGCCTGTTTTCAAAGGAGAGGAGCTTCTTCCCTTTAATTGTTTTTGTTGCCCTCCTCTGGGCTGTGAAATATGTATGTCAGCAGTACTAACCACTTTTCCAGTTGGGTATTCAGTGTATGTACAGAGCAACTCAGTTGTATTTTCAAGGTTTCATTAGGTTGGGGGTGTCTCCTCGGCAAGTTGGAGGACAGCAAGTCAGACTGCTGTTTTCTCTTTCTGTATATCTTGCTCACTTTGTCTTTGGTAGATGAAATCCTGCATCTCCCTTCATTTACTCTGAAGGAGATGTTTGCCCGTCTGAAGCCATGAGTCC